ATATATAACGCTTACATCCTTCAAACAGATTTGTCAGAAAGAACAGGGTAAAAGCGACGTTTCCTGTGGTCTTCCAGACCCGGTATTTACAGTGGACGCAAAAGGAAATCCTGTTATGACTTTTAAAGAAACTGAAAAAAGGCATGTCCACATTTATGCTGCAGTATACCTAGTCTTTCACCTGCCCTTGTGTCTCGCATGTGCGTATACATTAATATAGTTTTATCGTTTTATATATCACTTTTTTAAGGACCTCCAAAATCACTCTGGTTTGTGACAACAGTAAACCAATAGGAAAGTTTGAGAATGGGATAAGTTATTTAGCTGAAAGTGATATTACAACATATGTAAGTAAATCGATGGTGTATAGCTAGATGTAACAGTTAGAAGTATTCCTACGTACATTATTGCTCAGTTCTTCTGTTTTAATATTGTAGACGGGGGAATTTTCTTCAAAATATTCTTGTGCGTTTCCATCTTCAAGTCTTAGTGCCGGAAGTATCATACTTATCATGTAAGTACACAACGATTGGAAGAGAAGAAACAATGTAGAACCGCAAGCGCAAACGCAAGAGGCCTTGTTTTTAGATGAAAAACCCGCGGCAGCTGCGCTTGGGCGGCCTTTGTCCGTAGCAAGAGGAGTAGAGTCAGGGCACAACAAGTAGCTATGAGTTTTATAATGACGCGATGTTTTTAAAAAATCTGTTCTGGTTTTTCTTGTTTTGGTTTTCAGTTCGAGAAGAGAGAGGGGGAGGGGGAGGGGAGGGGCTTCTTGTCCTCGGTGAATTTTGTGAATTAATTTTTGATTTATTGACTTCACAGATTTTTTCCTTGCGTCTTTTTGTACGTATTAGTAGGTGTAATCTTTAACGTCAAAGTCAAACATAAAAATACCATGCCTGAAGTATTTCCTAACCATGAATTCTGGGTTGATTTCCCTTCCTTAATGAAGGTACGTGGATATTTGTGCACCCTCTTAACACCCCTCGCTCCACCCCTGTGTATGAACTATATAATACTATCCACTATCCACATAATACTCCCTGTATCCACTATATCACTGGTTGTTTGTAGCACTGAAAACTCAGGGAGTCCATCCACTCGTACGATTCTGTTTGTATAATTCAGGTATATTTTTTGTTTTCAGGATGGCTGTGTATTTTCGTTCACAAATCTAGTAAAGTGCTGCTGTTGTATTTATAAAAAAGCTTTTGG